ATTTGGGCACCTTGTGGCCCAGTCAAGTTGACACTAGAAATTGACAGTCGTAGTACTTTTAGGATCTTGCTACTCAGAGTCTGATGTAGAGCAACGACATTTTCATTACCTGGGAGCTTGAGCAGAAGGATCTCTAGCCTTGCCTCAGACTTGCTGAAACTGAATCTCTGCATTTTTAAAGAAGATTTTATTTATTTGAGAGAGAGAAAGAGCACACAAGCAGGGGGAGAGGCAGGCAGAGGAAAAATCAGCCTCCCTGCCGAGCAGGGAGCCCCATGCGGGGCTCGATCCCAGGACCCTGGGATCATGACCTGAGCCGAAGGCAGATGCTTAACCGACTGAGCCACCCAAATCTGCGTTTTAATAAGACCCCTAGGTAACATGAATGCACTTTGTTTGAGAAGCACCCAAACTGTTTGCCATAAATAGATGACAAATCCCATGAATTTGTTTGGCTTACAGCACATAGTTGGTTCTTCCCCTTTATTTATTTATTGTATCTTTTGTACACGTGTTATGTTTTTTAGTACGTGCCCTAATACATGCCCATTTGTTTTACTAATAAGTATGTGCTCATACCCGTGAACAGCTTTTAGGAGCATGATAAAGCATATATGAAAACAAATTTCAAACTGAGCTGAAGGTACAATAAATACCTTAAAATGTGTTGCTAAGCATGATGATGTCATGCAACCATCAGCGAATATCTCAAAGGTTGAGGAAGCTCATCATTAACAAGCAATCCATTTTTTGAATATTTCTCATGAGAGTTTTGATTGTTTTTGGCTGACTTTGCTTTGATCTGAATAGACAATCTTTGTTTTTAACCTTGCGACAAGCTAGCTGTTGCAGAGAGGGGGAGAGTTGACTCTATTGTGTTCTTGGGTTTGCTCTGTTAGTATTATCTTCAGGCTGTGGTTTTGTGGTGGGGGGCATTTTTAAGCCACATGCCTGCTCGGTGATGGTTAGCCTACTCATAGATAGGTAATTTATCTGCATAGCCCCTTTCGGGGTGCACAGAGCTGCAGTATAGGCAATGCACCCCAATGATGGTGCTGTTACCAGTCGCCCTCCTGGGCCTGAGGTTCCTGATTCTCACTGTCCGACATGGGCTTTTCAAGGGTGGGCTCCAGCATCCATACACAACATTACATTGACTTCTTCCTTGAACCACTAAAGACCACACACACAAGTTCTCAGATTTCCTTTCCTGATGCCAAATCATTTTATGTGGTCCCTGGAGGAAGCAGACCATACCTTGCAGACTGCTTTTCCGGGATATGGAGGCCTCTTAGGAACCTGTCATTTCCACTGCACACTCTACGAGGGGCTGCCTTGGGGGAAAAGCAGCCTTGGCTTCTGCGGTGGATTTTCAAGAATTTCAGCACTCAGGAGAAGCCCAGGGTATCTGTAGAAAGCAGTGCCGACCAAGTTCGTGGTAGCTTGTCCTGATAAATTACTCTGCTAACCTCTTGAAAGCCTGAATACTTTTGAATTTTTTTTTTGGGGGGGGGGACTCCTTAGAGAATCTGGGGAAAGCTATGGCTTCTTGTTCTATGGGCACAAAATTTCCATTCAATTCCAAAGGGGTTCACAGATCTCTTGAAGCTCATGATGAAGAACCTGTTTAGAAGGGAAAAAGGCAAATTAGAGTTAGAGGGCATGTGCCCTTTGCCTCAAACGTTCCTTTCCCGTAGCCCTGTTGAGTTTCAGAAACGGCTTACAGCACATAGCGGGGAAGGAGGCCGAGCTCTGATGTTAGGGACACTCAGGTTTGTATCTTGGTCCCTGCACTGATGAGCTGGGTTAACTTGAGCAGCTTTTTGCTCCATAAAATGGGTAGGTTAATCCTCACTTTGAATGCTCCCTTCCTTCTTGGCCATCTTCCAGCTTCATTGGCCTTCTTTCTTGCACCTCAAATGTTTGATCTCTTTCCTGCCTCAGGGCCTTTGCACTCACTGTTCCCTCTGCCAGGAAGGTTCTTTCCATCATCTTTATGTGACCACCTTCTCACCATTCAGGGCTCAACTCAAATGTCTCCTCCTCAGGAAAGCTTTTCCAGATCACCTTTATCTCTCTTTCTCTGTTTATTTAGAATTTTTAGAAAGTCTGCGATTCAGTGATTTTTGGCATAGTCACAGAGTTGAACCACCATCACCGCTCTGATCCCAGAACCTTTTCATTATCGAAAGTCCGTATACATTAATGCAACAGCCAGTCCCCAGTCCTCCCTCTCTCTAGCCCCTGGCCATCTCCACTCATCTACTTTCTATCTCTATGGATTTGCCTCTTCTGAACATTTCATATAAATAGAGTCATCCATTCTGTGGCTTTTTGGGTCTGGCTTTTTTTGCAGAGGATCAGGTTTCTAGGTTCCATTCACGTTGTACCAGGCGTCAATACCTTATTGCTTTTCATGGCTGAGTCATACTCCAGCTCATATCACATATTTTGGTTATCCATTCATTCGTTTATTTGGGTGGTTTTCCGCTTTTGGGCTGTTTGGAATAACGCTGCTATGCACCGGTGTCTCTTGATCCTGTTACACTTTTGTGTATTTAAGTTTCACAGCTCTTGTTGACTTATTTAACATGCATATTTCTTATCCTGTCCACTAGAATATAAGCTCCAAGCAGGCAGTGGTCTTGTTCATCTTGCATATTGCTGTGTTCCCAGAGTCTTAAATCGTGCCTGGCACAGAGTAGGCAATAGATGTTTGTTGAGTGAATGAACGAATGAATGAATGGGAGCAGTTGCTATTCTCTTGTCTCCTGGAGGACTCAATCTTTTCCTCTAATTCACACGGGACTCTTGCTGTGTTCCCCGTATCTCACATCTGACACCTCTTGCCGCCTGTAGTTCTCCATTATCTCATTGCCCCATGAGCAGCCACTCCCCCAAGCTCGGGGCCGCTGTTACCCTAACAGAGTCTCAGACTTGAATGTGCAGCAGAAAACGCAGGTGGCCTGGGCTCTGGAGTTTCTGAGTCAGTGAGTCTGGGTGGTTCTGAAAATTTGCATTTTAACACGTGCTCCGGGGGAGGCTATTGCTCTTGGTTGGCAGACCACTATCTGAGAATCGATGCTCTGGGGGGGGGGGGGGGGGGGGTAAATTTCAGCCCGCAGACGGGGCCTGTTGAGTTCAGAAGTGGTATGTGTGGGCCTCACTCAAAGAGCTCACCTTGCTTCTCTTTCTCCCTTGATGGGGATTCAGAGGGTTCTGGTTTGTTAAGAGCATCCTGATGGATCTGAGATCATGGCAGTATTGCTTGTGGGAGTGGACCCTGGAGAGGAGGCACGGGTGAGGATGCTTACTGCAGGGTTGTGTACGGAGGCGGGGGGTGGGTGTCACTGACCATCCAGGTTCCCCTAACCAGGGAAATGGATAAGCAGGGCTGATGCTCTGCCACTTCACCGTGAAACCACAGCATGAAGGAGATTCACATTTTGCAATAGGGCTATAGCTCTCAGATTGTGCAAAGAGAAAGAAACCATGAGGTTTATGGCAAAAACACTGCTCATGTCAAAGATACACAGCTGTGCAATGATATCTGCAACGGTCTATACCGTTGCAGGATAATCCTATCTAAACAAAGATACAATGGAGAGCCGGTAGAGTGAATGTGTTGGTGAGGTCTGACCTCAGGAGTGATGTCTCTTTGACAGCTATCTCTGTTCTGTTCTGCGTGCAAACATTGAGCTGCTTGGCTAAGTTTACGTCTAATTGTGAAGGTCACTGTTCTGGTTGAATTGGGTGCCAGCCCTGCCCCCCCTCCCCCCCGCCCCCCGCCCCATTAAAACAAGTCTTTTTTAAAGTCCTGGTCTTGTGGTCCTGGGAATGTGACTTGATTTAGACATAGGATCGTTGCAGATGTCGTGATTTAGGACAAGGTTATCCTGGAGCAGGGTGGGCCTCTAACCCAGTATGACTGGTGTCCTTAAAAGACAGAGACGGTGGGAGACCCACCAGGGGAAGGTGGAGATTTCTAGCAACCAGCAGAAGCCAGGAAGTGTCAAGGGAGGAGGCCCCCTGTAGGTTTCCGAAGGGGTGTGGCCCTGCCAATATCTTGACTTTGGATTTCTGGCCTCCAGAGCTGTGAGCCCATAATTTGTGTGGTTTGAAGCCACCTAGTCTGTGGTACATTGTTATAGCAGCCCAGGAAACTAATACAGTCCCTTAACACCTCTCACCTTGTTTTCTTATTTGTTGAATAATAGTAAAAAATATCAACCCTTGGGTAAGCGTCAGCGAGATTAAACATGATGATAAACGGGAAAGGCCCAAAACACAGTAGGTGACTTGGGTTGTATGCTTTCCCTTCATCCCAGCTACTGATCAAGAGGGGCACCAACAAGGGGCGTGGCTGGATCACACCATATCCGCCCTAGCTGCAGGAAACCCAATTCACGCAGGATACCGAGCTGTGCGTAGGCTCTGGCTCAGCCCTGTCCAACTGGCTGTGTGACCTTCAGTAGGTTAATTTACCTCTCTGAGCCTATGTTTGCTCATCTGTAAAGAAGGACTAATAAACCTCAGAAGGTGTTCGTATGCTACTTAGCTGAATTAAGGCTTGTAATGTGATTAGCATGGGGGCCGGCTTATGGTAAGTACTCCATAAATGCTATTTATTGCTAATAGTGGGCCATTGCTCTACATGAAGTGTGGGATCTAGCGTTAGCTATGAAGGGGGACTAAGTTTATGGGGTGCAGACATGTTAGATTCTTCACTGAATCCTCTCAACAACTCAGCAAGGTGGGTGATACTGCTCTTATGTAGCTATTGTGAGGAGCATGTGGACTGTTTTGCACGAAGTCCTTATGTAACCTCTAATTGCAGTGACCATTTTACTCCCTTACATCCTTTTCTCCCTCCCAACCCCTAACTAGAATGGCGGCTCATGGAGTCAGGGGCCTCGTCTTCATAAGCCCAGGGCTCTGAGCACAGCAGGTGCCAGTCATTGTGTTTGGAATGAACAGATTGAAATTCTTTCTTCTTTCAGGGCCCTTGCAGATGTCATGAGGCCACAGGGCCACTGCAACACTGACCACATGGAGAGGGACCTCAACATTGTGGTTCATGTCCAGCATTATGAAAACATGGATACCAGAACCCCCATAAATAATCTTCGTAAGTATAGTCGTGCGGTCCATTCCCAGCCCCACTTGGTGATCCATACAGTGATCACATGTCTAGATTTCATGGTCTGTGTTTGGGTTCATCAAGAGCTTTTTTGTTTGTTGGCGAGTTAGAAGTTTGATTTCATCTCTCCAGGATGAAGCTGTGTTTGGCTTCATCAGATTTCACTTGGTTTGTTTCTCGGGTAAAGAGTGATTCCACTTGGTTGGTTTCCTACAGTTGGTTCTGTTAACGAATGGCCCTCTTGGTTGGTTCATGATGGTTGGGTACCTCGTTAACCAATGGGTTACTTGGTTGATTCATCTGAGATAGTTGATCTCTTAGCCCAATAACCCATTTTATTCATTCATCTTGATGGGGCAATCGGTGAACCAGTGGCCCATTTGCTTATTTGCTTCTTGAGGTAGACCAGTTGTGATCTTTAGGTTTCATACTGTTTTCCATGAACAGATAGTAGTTCAGAAGAATTTGATCTCTTTTTCATCAAAATAGAGTTTGGCAAAAATAAATCACAAACTATCCTGTGTGTGTATGCACACACACGTGCACATACATGTTTGTGTGTGGTGTGTTCCGTTGTGGTTATGTTGGTTTGGGGTGTGTACATGCGACTCAGAGTAGCAAATTCCCTTCCATTTTTCTGCCAGGGGGACAAATGCTACACAGGTATTCTTGAGCTGACAGAGCATACTTGGGGATCTCAGGATGCTCCCTCAATTTTCCTTTCCTTTCAAAGGTCTTTATATACAATATACGTTATGGAGCTGATGTACTGACTAATGGGAGGGGGGGAAGCAAGGTTGTTTAGTTTTTGACAATAGGGTACTACCGTGTTTATTCCTAGCAATTATGTTTTCAAGTAACCCCCACATTAAAGTAATGTGGAGGGCTTGGTTTGAAATAACAAAAGCCAGACAATTTAAAAGATGCATTTAGTTGTGGCTGGAGGCTCTTAAAAACATCATGCATTTTAGAGGCTGGGTTGCCTTGGCTGAAACTCCACTAGCAGAGTTGCATCGGTGTTTTATTTGCTGAATCATCGTTTTCAACTGTTTGGCCACAAATTTTTATGCTCGATGGTTGGTGGAATAAATCTGTGGCATTTGATAGAGGTGATAGAAATTCTTTGATTCTGCATGGTGATAATTTTTCATAGCCTTGGAAAAATGTTGCAGTATATTTGTAAAGTCAACGTTTACATAGTTTGAAAATGGGTTACCAAATAGAATGTCTTAGGTGTCATTGTATTAAATAATTCGACATTATTTATTTATGAACCCGGTCATAGAATGGCATGAGAAATAGCCACATTTTAGAGCCAAATACATCAGCATTTGGAAGTTTTATGACTGAATCTCACAGCCCTGAAAGATACGGTAAATTGTACCAACTCTGACATGGCGGTTGCTGAGCCCAGTTCTGGCTTTGATGGAAATAGGCACAGTCTCTTTCAGATGTCACTGGGAAATAAGTTGAACCTAGGTGTACGTGAGCTAATGCCATCATGGAGGAGACAGAGTTGAAATGGTGTTGAGTCCCTGGCTATACAAGGTGACTGTTAACAAGTTTCTCATGTGAAGTTTCAATCTTTAGGATGATTTTTGAATCAGCACTCAAATGGAATAACAAACTCATTGAAGTCCCCCGCGTTTCATCATTGCATCAGGCAAAAGGGCAAGGAACATTAATGAATCTGTTTCAGTAAGGGACTTTTGTTTAAAGTTGTACTGAAAACAAGTTACTGCTCAGAGATGGGTGTCCGGGAACTGAGTAATTCAGAAGTCTCTCGTGACGGACTAACTGGGCTTATTTATGATTCTTGCCTTTAGTTTGTATCTGAGTCTCTCAGTAATCAGTGATACTTATGCTAATTAGAAGAAATGTATCTTGTAATATTCTACTGGGTAGAAGTATACCACAGCATTCCTGGTAGACTACAGAAGGGAATTCCAGGTGTATTCCAACATTGCATTCTTGCATTAACAAGATGTTAATTTGCTGCTGGGTTGATCCAGTCCTTATTTCCTAGAATTCTTGGGAACATCTGGAAAATAAGCATATAGCCCTTCCACAGATTTCCACTAATCAGTTCAATTTTGTAACTAATGCAGTACTTTGTAGTAATGATAGGCTTCCTTGTAATGATTTTGTCTTTTTATTGATTCACAGGAGCTATTTATATATTACAGACATAGGGAAAATTTACATGTTCAGGAGAAGGAATGATTTTTGGGAGTTCACTGAAAGGATAGGCCTCGATGACTGGTATTTATCAGTTGTCAGGGGTTCAAGAAGCCATGCAGTTGCTAGAGTCCATTTTGACCCACAGAGAACTAGGAGAGAAGGAATCCAGTCCAACTGAGAAGTTAGGCCAGCTCTTGGTGCCAGAATGAGAACGCACCTATTGAATATAAAACCCTTTTCTGGACATTGTGGGAACTATGAAGATTTACGATTACAACAAATGGAACAAAAATGCATCCATTTGTGATATACCAAAAAGGGGCCCATCATGCCATTGTTGGGGTGTTCTTCACTAAACATTCAAGTGACCGGATTTGACCGGGAATTTGATAGCCCAAACTTGAATGTCATTTTTATCTCTATTCAGTGACCCGCTCGACATAGCTTTAAGGGAATCCTCCTCTCCATCTATTTATCTTTCTTCATCTTAATATTAATGCTAGACCCCTTTCTGGTCTTCCCATTATGCTTTGGTCACATGCTAAGAGAATCCAAAGTCAGTGGCTATTTAGGAGGAAGGGAGTGGGGAAGGACTAGGGTAGAGGCAAATGGAAGGGGGCGGAAAGCTTCAATGTGGGGAAATTTTGCCATTTTTCCTTTATAATTTTCCTATGGTAGATTTTTCCTGTGATATGCAAGACTTGCCTTTTTATCTGAAGATGGATTTTTCTTCAGCTGATGCCGTTCATGTTCTTTCCAGGCATTCAGTGATATTGCCTAAAAATATTTAGTCTGATAATCAAAAGGGCCTCGACCTCTTTGATGAACAGGATGTAGATTCAGATGAGATAGTGATTTTTCGCAAACGCTCCTCAGCTTCTGTGTAATTATAGTTTGCTTTTGAAGGCACATTTTGTCCTCAAGCGCTATGAACGTGCTTCTGTCTCCCCCACCCCAGCCTCACAGCCTGCCAGTGACACTCCCCATCCTTTCTGGGAGTGCAGGGTAAATATAGGCTCCCTTTCGTCTTAAGAGTGGGTGATGGGATTGAGGACTGTGGATACAAGGAGAGAGCTCGGATCAACGTCTCTCAACTCGTTTGTGTTAACAGCACGCTTTATTTTTTTTAAATGCAGTTTTAGTTTTGGAATACTTTTATATTTACAGAGAGGTTGCAAAATAACACCCAGAGTTCTGTATACTCCTCACCCACTTTCCCCTAATGTGAACATCTTCCATTACTGTGTACACCTGTCAAAACTAAGAAATCAACATTAGTATGTTATTTTTAGCTGAGCTGTAGATAATGTTTGGATTTCACGATATTTCTTCACTTATGTCCCTCTTCTGTTCCAGGATCCACTCCAGGATGCCGCATTGTATTTAGTACAGTAAACTTGATAGTAGAATTTTGGTTGGCCGTATTGTTTAATGATGTGGTAAAGACTGAAAACAACCCTAAATAAGTCAGCAGCAATTACAAAGCCTTTATTGCCATAGTATAAAAAGTGTCTCCCAGTGTCTATAAAAACAGCCACATAAAATTGTTCACCTGGTCACTGTTGGAATAGGACCAGCTGATATTCCGACTGTGCTCTCACGTAGACTTGTTGGACAGAGTACCCTCCGGTTCCACCCAAACACGCGACCCCTCTTTGGAATTGGATTAATGTTCCCCTGTTTATTTAGCAGCATAATCTGAGAAGGTGAGATCTCACCCTGAACTGAGGAGAAGTGGTAACTTGATGTTTCAGGATAGAGAATCCACCAAAAAGACCAGGCTCCCTTTCCAGCCTCACCCCACCCCCTACTGCCCCAGAACCATTCCCAAGTGGGTTTACAAGGAACCAGATGCAAAGCAGATCCATGGTTTAGCTTCTGAAGATGCTGTACAGCTCATGTCTAGGGCCAAATGGATTTCTATTCATTTGTCCATATTTACCAAGGTACCTGGGTGTCATTTACGTGACTTTTGGAGGCACTTGTCCAGATATTCCTAAATATCTTTTCAAAATCGGGGGAATTTCCTAATCAGGGCAGGTGTATAAGATTCAAACATATGTAAGATAGCGAAATGTTAACAGCAACTTATATAGACAGCGTTCTAAACCCCCAAAACAATGAATCTTCAAAACCTTACTAGGCTGGTACTGTTATTTTCACCTCATAAAGGTGGGGAAGCTGAGAGCTCAGAGAGGTTAAATGGCTTATCCAGAGTTCATACAGCTACTCAGTGTTGGAGCTGGGATTTAAACAGGGCCAGTCAGACCCTAAGGTCTGTGTTGTAACCACTATACTACGTGACCTCTCCTTCTGCAGTAGGTGTTTGCAGAATGGGGAAGTCTTCCCCTTAGGAGCTGAAGTTGATAAAGGATATGCTAGATGAACCCAAAGGTCAGTTGGCACTGTAGGAAAGAGAGCTATTTCCAAAATATAATCCAGTGTGCTGAGTATATTGTGGAGTCCTTCCTTAGGAGGAACAGTAACTAACATTTATTGAGCACTTGCTATGTGCCAGGCATTGTGTTAAAACTTTGGATGCCTTAGCTCGTTTTGTACTGAAAACAACCTTCAAACAGCCTAGCTCATCCCTGCCCCAGGATCTTTGCACTTGCTGTGCTTCCCACCTACAGAACCCGGCTCCCAGGCTTCCAGCCTTTTACATCTTACCCCCAAAGCTGCCTCATTGGAGAGGACTTCCATGTTTCCCTCTGGCCCCCAAGTCACCTACTGTTCCCCATTTCCCCATTATTTTCTTTGTAACTTTTCTTCCCTCTGGAATTGTCTTCCTCATTATTTATGCCTAC